AACTTAAAAAATCATACCAAACTAAAGTTAGAACTTGGAAGTAAAGTGTACTTAAAAATAATAAAATATATAGGTCAGAAAATAAGAAAAAACAAACGTGTGGTGTGATAATCTTTTTATGAGTGTCAAATCATATAGTCATAAAATAGACATAAATACATGAAGGCTTACGAAAATCCTAAAACTATTTGACATTTCATTTACGATTCACAAAAAGACCAAATATCCAGTTATGGAGCCATTTACCCATATGAAAGGCCCGTTAATATAAGACCAAAACAATGTATCATTGATATTGTGGACCAAAAGGTCCGTTAATACCCAAAAAGTGTGAGATCTCTATACTATTAAAAGAGAAGTACAAATATAAATGGGTCGGGTCAAAATCAGAAAATTGACCCGAAATTCTGAAATCGGATCTTTGAAAAAATTTTGGAATATAAATTCGAATTAATAATGAAAAATCGAACTAAAATCAAATGTATATGGAAATCAAATAAAATTTGATTGTACTTATGGTAACTAATTATAAAATCATATTCCGAATAATATTATACATTAATTACGTATAATATATTTGTTCATATACTTTTGGAACTAATTCCATAACAATCAACGTTTTTCTCATTAATTTTGTTTATTTTAGCCAGTTATCATTAATTAAAAGATATCTTACTTGCTTCTAGAGATTTCTAGAAAATTTATCACAACTAACCCATCTATTTTATAAATTAAATATATTTTTTTCTTTTGGTAGTGTAAATTAAATAGATATGAAATATATGTAACTAATTTTAATTTAATTAGATTAAATCAAAATTATGGTATTTTCATACTTATAGCTTACCAAAGAAGTTTAATTTTCAAATTATAAAGATTTCTTGAATATGATTTTTAGAATTATTCAACAAGATGATAAATATTTACTAAATTTTGTGAATCATGAAAAATATTAATTATTTTTTAATCATTATATTTCACTTTTCAATCTATCATCTAACAAATAAGATACATATTCTATTATTCCTATGTCCAAACTTCATTGTGTTGTATGACTAAATAATATTTCCATTAGAGCTGTCAAAACGAGTTGATTCGTCCCTTTAAGCCTGTTTTGCAATAGGCAAAATATATTTTGGCATGTAGTTAGTCTGTCCGCACGACCCGCGGATAGCATATATGAAACACAAATCCGTCGCGCGAATGTATGCTGATTTGCGGGGTTATCCGTGGATTTTGTTTAAATAATTTTAGAGTAACCAAAATTTAAAATTCTACTAAAATAAATAAATTAAATTTTTTTTTGAGAAAATAATCTTACATTATCCAATTGACGAAAATATGTGTTCAACGTTCTCGATCGATTAAAATATTTAGACAATGCTTCAGAATCATATCATAAATAAGAACATTAATAAAATAAATGAGTTTTTTGGCCGGACGGGTTTTTGAATCAACAATAATAAAACGATTAAAATATCATTAATCCACCGCTTCAATACGGATTAAATCCTTTTTTTTATTACCACAAATATTAGACATATTAAATCAGTCTCATTTAGAAAAGATTGTATAAAACCAAAAATTGTCCCGTGGTATAATGTTACTTAATAACAATATTTATAAAATTTTAAAATATCATTAACATGCCGCTTTAATACATACTAAATATTTAGTTTATTAAAATATAAATGTCTTAGAGAATGATATGATTTGTAAACTTTTATATATAATAAATAATTATTAAATTTTAAAATAAAAACAAATCACGGGACGGGTTAAGAAATTACGGAATGGGTTATATTTCGGAAAGGATCTATATGGCGGACGAATTTGAATTAATATTTATATACGGGTTAAATCCTCAGTTTATTAATAATAGTCTCGTGGACTCGTGGTATACCGTTACTTAATAACAATTGTAAACTATAATATAAATAAATATGTTATATGGAGATACAATTTACAAAATATTTTTATCCTAACTTTCAAATTAAATCATCCCGCGGTGTACCGCGGGTTAAAATCTAGTTTTTAAGTAAAAAAAAACGTTGTCTCTCTTTCTTTAAAGATAGACAACACATCAAAGGGACGACGATGATTGTCATTGATAAGTGATAACCTCAGTTTCTCGGTCCCTGCTTCCACATACCAAAGATAAGCGACTTCCAAATCTTCAACTTTTCTTTCAAGTTCCGCAAGTTTCAGACACCGATCAATTGTTTCACTTTAGATTATTGGATCGGTTAGGTTCGAGCCAATTCCAGATTCATTCGGAGCCACCATTATTGTCAATCGGACGGTTGTTGTTGCTCCACCGTTTTTCTTCGTTCTACTGCGATAAAATTGGTGGGTCTATTGAGTTTGATATGAAAGTGGATTTATCACAGACGCAGATTGATGGTTTTGGAACCCAGATTTCAACTCATTCCTCTTGGTAATTTCTTTGAAATCACTGAAAATTTAAAAAATCCATGCAACATCTAATTAGAAAATTCTGTTGTATTGATTAAAAAAAAGTCAAGGATAACAAAAGGGTATGAACATGAGTCTATCCAAAGACATAAACATGATTTTCTTGATTACCATGTTATCTATATTATTAATTGGGAATCATTGGATAATAAATAACCTTATAAAGGGTAAAGAATTACAAAAAATGCCATTGGTTTTTAGTGTTTTTAAATAACTTCATTAATGGTACAATAGTAATCACAAAATTAATATATTTAAATAAAAAATAGTTTAATTCTTTTAAATAATTATTAATTTCCCAAAAAATAAACTAATTTTCTCTCTCTTATTAATTATAAACGAAAATTTGAAATTAATTTTTAAAAAATTGTTAACCAATAGGAATTGAAAAACTAAGATTTGATATCCAACTAAGATTTTAATTCAAAAATAAAACAAATTTTAATAGACTATTCTATATCAAAAATAAAAAGAAAAATAATATCATTTTAATTCAAAATTAAAAACACTATCATTTAAAAGATTTATCAATGGAAGACTTTAAAATTAAATTTAAAATTTTGTAAGAAAATTAAATACAAATATTTTAAGATTCAGTTTTGTTATAATATTTTCACAAATTTTTAAATATAAAACAAAATTTTATTTCACAATTTGTAAAATACGATATTAGGTATTAACAACTCTTTATATTTATGATGAAATAAACTCAAATAATAATAAATTTAAAGTAATTATCATTATAGCCTTCGTTTAATACAAGTTTGATAAATATCTAACAGTAGATTGTATATATTAATTTCTAAATTATTTTGCATTTTATTTTTTGTTTTCAACCAGATCTTCCTTAAATAAATCCCTAATATATTGCACACAGTTTTCAAATAATGTAAACTAATTATATATTTTGAATTCAAAACAAATTATGCAGCAATAGCATATCCCTTTTAAAGATGTATCTCGAATTTTTATTTTTAGTCCAAAAATCAAATTAATTATGATTAAACAATAAAAAGAAGAATATGCAAAATTTAGCTAAGGAGAAACATTAATAAATTTGTTAAAATATATTTGTAACTTTAGCAGCATATATATTAATCTACAAAACTCACCGTATGTATTGTATGGTATTTAAAAGTATGCAAATAAGAATTTGGAACATGATTTTAATGGAATGAAATGAGAATAGGAATTACGAGACGGGATGAGAGGGGAACATAAATTAAAAATCAAACTAAATACCCAATTGGTATGAGTTCAGGTTATGAGCACTATATAAAATAAATTTGTTTACATACATAACCCTGTACGTACGTTTTCAGTTACACATATTCTATTTATGCCGGATACTGCACTGTCATATTTTTATTTCACGTATACAAGACGGGTTATGGGAACAAGAATTTATGACAGATATAGGACGGGATATGTTTCCCGTTCTAAAATAGTTACCCCTAGCTAATATACATGAAATAACCAAACTCAAACCGAATCTATATCCTATTTAACACATGTAATCAAACTATTAGAAATATTTTGATTAGTTTAGAAAATAAAAAAATTAACATCATTTAACTTTTGCAACTAAATTATATCTTAGTTTTATCTTAAATATAATTTCGCACGTACGTGTAGGTCCGGATCTTAAAATATAACTATGCACTAACGCAACTAAATTTCGTTTATTACTCTAATTTTATATTATTTGTACTATTATAAAGTTCACAAACACAACAAAATATTTTATATTTTTAAAATCTATATAACAATTTCTAAAAAAATATCTCTACACGTACGTGTGAATCCAAATCTAATACACTAAAATATATATCATAAAAACAACGAAATAATTTATATTGAATTAAAATTTGTTAGAGCCTGACCCGCACGTACGTGCGGGAGGTAATATAGAAAGTATAAAGTTTACATAAGGTTTTATTTTACGATATTTGTTTTGTTTAGTTTAATTGAATCTTATATTAAAAACTATAGATATCATAATAGTAGCATACTGAAAAAGAATATTTTTCTTGTGTTTAGAATAAACTTTGTTACACACATTATTTTTTCGTTTGAATAATGTATTATACTGTACCATTAAAGAATAGTTTAGTTATTAAAAGATGTAACACTTTGCGTAAAAGTTAAGTATTATACTGTACCATTAAATAAATAGTTTGGTTCGTTGCATAAGAAACAATTTGAACAGTTACATAATTCAGGAGTTTATTAACTTATAATAGAAAGGTGTAATTTACAAAGAATACTATATTTGAAATTGTTGAAAATTAAATTTGTTATTTGTTTATAAATTAAAACATGTTATTTGTCACTAAAATCTTCGCGCAACGTTTAATTTCGTGGGCCATAAACTAAAAACGTTTTATTTGATATGGGCTGAAATGCATGTTAATGGTGGGCCGAACTATAATCAGTATTTGATTTATTGTTTTGTATTTATACTATTAATGAATTTGTTTTTTTTTTGGACAGATAATTGTTTGTGAACAATCGTTGTCTGATAAAAAAAAAATGTCCCAGCTAAAACAAAAACTTCATTATCGGTCGATCGAGATTCAATAGCGAATTTCATAGAGAATCCACGTATTTCGTCTTCGTTTATACTTTGTGGTTCGCCAATTGTTAGTTCTAAAAAGAGGTAAGCTTTTTGTTGAATCAGATTATGTTTTTACTGTTTTTAAATTTGTCGATTCAATTTCTAATCTTTGATTACTTTTGTTTAAATACAGATCTTCGTCAATCTCATTGAAGAACCCAGATTAATTTGGGTAACTATTGTCCTTTCTAATCCAATTACATAGCAACTGATATTTATTTGATTTCGTTTTGCTTGACCATGTTAGCTAAATAATCAATCTGTTTGTATAAATTCCCAATGTACGAAAAAAAAAATCCAATGAACGGACACAAAATTTATTCAATTTGGAATCTATATTGAAATATACATTATATTTTGATACCTAAAAATAGATCTAATTAGTTTTGTTTCTATAATATTTTCAGATTATGACTAACTGTATGATGGTTTGCCAAAAGAAGAGGAACCAGAACCACGAAGATAAGTTGTTTCACGATTATTAGGAAAAATTCTTTCATTTTCCAAAATTGTCACATTTCTATGATACAAAACTCAATGTCTGCAGGCCAAATATCATTTGGGAGTCTATTTCTTATGGAGGATTTAATATTGAAGATTCATTTTGGAGCATGTTGGAAAATCTAAATGTGAATATCCTTTTACCTGAATAACTTTTCTTCAGTATCTTTAGAAAGCTTCAGATGTTTCTAAATATGTAACACTGATGACTCTAAGTTCAATATCTGCAGGCCAAGCATCACTTGGTAGCTGAATTCTTATGGAGGAGGGAGATTTGGTCATGTCTTTGGAGCTTTTTCAGAAAACTAAATGTAAAAGGTTAGCCGGATGTTAAGGATAATGATCATGTTTATTTGATAACAATATATATATAACAATATATTATTAGATGAATAACTGTACATGAAAGAGGTTTAAAATTAAAAATGAAATAGTAAGTTACTTGATTATTATGCTCTTTGGAGCTATATTTTCTAATTTTATGTTAAAATGATTATAGTAAGTTGCTTGATTTCCTATACTATAACTTATCCTATTGTTTGATAAGCAGTAATAACCTTACTGCTTCTAAATATGAAATTAGAAATCAGTATTTAGAAAATATATAGAAAATATATAACCTTATAAAGTGTAAATAATTACAAAGGATTGCCATTGGTTTTTTTTTATTCCACGAATACATTGAGAAAATCGGCAAAGGGTAAAATAGACAAAGAACTCGGAATGGGACGCGGATCTTGGGTCATATAGTCGGATCTCGGGTCTTTATCATTAGCAGCCTGCATTGATTGTTTATGGTTCTATTGGGCTTCGGAAGAATTAGGCCCTAACTATAGCCCTGATCCAATAAACAGTTATGTTACGAAAATTAATTGTACAGATTCAAGACATTTATGCTATATACCATTACCACCAAATCTATATATCAGAATTTGATCTATCTGTTCCTATATTTCTATAACAACCCCGCATATTCCCTATATCGACTAAAACTAACTCAATCAATTACATTTCCAACATTAGTTTATATTTTAAATGAAAAAATCTTTTCAAATCAAAATTAATCCCGAGAATCAACCAAATAAACCATAAACACAATTCAAAAATTCTTGAAATATCCATTTTAGATTCAATATCTACAGAAAATCATTCTATAAAAACTCAAAATATAAATGCGAAGTAAATGAGCAAAATATCAATGCTAAATCTATGGGATCTCAATTCCGCATATTCTATATATCAACTCATAACTAACTCGATGAATTACATTGCCTTATTTAGTTTATAATTTAAATGAAAAAATCTTTTCAAATCAAAATTAATCCCGAGAATCAACCAAATAAACCATAAACACAATTCAAAAATTCACATATAATCAAGCATATACCTTAAATATTTTCAAAAATTTGGTAATGTGAACAAAATTACCATAAAAAAAACGTTAAGATATGCCAAAATAATCGTATCCCAAAAATTTAGGTGATAACAAGTCACCATAAAATCAAACTTCTACACAAAAAAATATATATATTACCTCTCAAATGTAAAATATAACGAATAAATTATTCACAAGATTGATTCACAAACGAATTTTGTTATCATTCAGTTACCAAAAAATCCAACTTCTACTAGAACAATATATAAATAAATAACCTCTCAAATGCAGAATATACCTATAATATTTATTCAAAAGATTGATTCGCAAATATATTCTTTTGATTTAATAGGACGAACCCTAGCCTACCTCTTTTTCCTATAAATATAGAATCTCTAATACAATTTTCAAGACTCAAAAGGCTATCAAACGACCTATATACTTTTCCTACTCATTTTTTAAAAATGGCTGCAAATCTTTCCATCACAATCTTGAAGACATCAAACCTTTCAAAACAGGTTTGAAAATCCAAGTGAAAAACGTCTATTCGTTGACTCAATACACCTAATACATTTGAGGATACCATGGAGATGATTCTTACTGATATGTCCGTAAATCTCTCCTTACTTATTCATTCTTAATCTTTTACTTATCATGTATAGATCGACTTTTTAATACAATTTTTGGTATTTTACAGAGTACTTTGATTCATGTTACTATTAAGACACAACAAGTGAACAAATATAAAAGGTTCATCAAAACTAGAGGGTGGAGAATTGTGAAAAATTATACACTCTCCAAATCTATGGGAAAGTACAAGGCAACAAAGCATGACTTTCAGATGTCCCTCATTAACACGACTATTATATGTCGTATTCCTTCTCAATCCGATGAGATTTACTTGGATTTGGCTAACTTTCCAAATGTTTTGAATGTTTCAGGATTGAATGAAAACATCTTGATTGGTATTTGTCATTACTATTATTTCTGTATATATTGTTTAAAGCAAATCCTAAATAACTAACTAATCCCTGTTCATATATATTTCAGATGTACTGGGACTTTTCAAATTTGATTTCTTTTTTCTGTGTTTACAGTAAAATGCTGGTTTCTACCTTGGTTGGTGTTACTGAAATCAGAATCGCCTGTGTTATTTTCATGTTTTCTTTTTTCCAGAATCACATACATTATTTCAGCACAGCTTAACTTAGTTTTCCAAAACATTTTTGTCTTAATAACCTTCACATTAAGTAATATGAAGTTAACTATTTCATATTTAGAAGCAGTAAGGTTATTACTGCTTATCAAACAATAGGATAAGTTATAGTATAGGAAATCAAGCAACTTACTATAATCATTTTAACATAAAATTAGAAAATATAGCTCCAAAGAGCATAATAATCAAGTAACTTACTATTTCATTTTTAATTTTAAACCTCTTTCATGTACAGTTATTCATCTAATAATATATTGTTATATATATATTGTTATCAAATAAACAAAATCATTATCCTTAACATCTGGCTAACCTTTTACTTTTAGTTTTCTGAAAAAGCTCCAAAGACAGGACCAAATCTCCCTCCTCCATAAGAATTCAGCTACCAAGTGATGCTTGGCCTGCAGATATTGAACTTAGAGTCATCAGTGTTACATATTTAGAAACATCTGAAGCTTTCTAAAGATACTGAAGAAAAGTTATTCAGGTAAAAGGATATTCACATTTAGATTTTCCAACATGCTTCAAAATGAATCTTCAATATTAAATCCTCCATAAGAAATAGACTCCCAAATGATATTTGGCCTGCAGACATTGAGTTTTGTATCATAGAAATGTGACAATTTTGGAAAATGAAAGAATTTTTCCTAATAATCGTGAAACAACTTATCTTCGTGGTTCTGGTTCCTCTTCTTTTGGCAAACCATCATACAGTTAGTCATAATCTGAAAATATTATAGAAACAAAACTAATTAGATCTATTTTTTGGTATCAAAATATAATGTATATTTCAATATAGATTCCAAATTGAATAAATTTTGTGTCCGTTCATTGGATTTTTTTTTCGTACATTGGGAATTTATACAAACAGATTGATTATTTAGCTAACATGGTCAAGCAAAACGAAATCAAATAAATATCAGTTGCTATGTAATTGGATTAGAAAGGACAATAGTTACCCAAATTAATCTAGGTTCTTCAATGAGATTGACGAAGATCTGTATTTAAACAAAAGTAATCAAAGATTAGAAATTGAATCGACAAATTTAAAAACAGTAAAAACATAATCTGATTCAACAAAAAGCTTACCTCTTTTTAGAACTAACAATTGGCGAACCACAAAGTATAAACGAAGACGAAATACGTGGATTCTCTATGAAATTCGCTATTGAATCTCGATCGACCGATAATGAAGTTTTTGTTTTAGCTGGGACATTTTTTTTTATCAGACAACGATTGTTCACAAACAATTATCTGTCCAAAAAAAAAACAAATTCATTAATAGTATAAATACAAAACAATAAATCAAATACTGATTATAGTTCGGCCCACCATTAACATGCATTTCAGCCCATATCAAATAAAACGTTTTTAGTTTATGGCCCACGAAATTAAACGTTGCGCGAAGATTTTAGTGACAAATAACATGTTTTATTTATAAACAAATAACAAATTTAATTTTCAACAATTTCAAATATAGTATTCTTTGTAAATTACACCTTTCTATTATAATTAATAAACTCCTGAATTATGTAACTGTTCAAATTGTTTCTTATGCAACAAACCAAACTATTTATTTAATGGTACAGTATAATACTTAACTTTTACGCAAAGTGTTACATCTTTTAATAACTAAACTATTCTTTAATGGTACAGTATAATACATTATTCAAACGAAAAAACAATGTGTGTAACAAAGTTTATTCTAAACACAAGAAAAATATTCTTTTTCAGTATGCTACTATTATGATATCTATAGTTTTTAATATAAGATTCAATTAAACAAAACAAAACAAATATCGTAAAATAAAACCTTATGTAAACTTTATACTTTCTATATTACCTCCCGCACGTACGTGCGGGTCAGGCTCTAGTTGCCTCTTTAAGAGGGTTTCAGATAGATTAAATTTTGTAGCATGTTTTCCTTTTGTAGTGTGAGCCAGTCAGGTTCATCATTTATCCTTTTGCCAATTCAATTCTTTCATGTTTTTCATCCTGCAACAAATTGAAAGGCTTATCATTCATAAGAACTAACCAAAATCTTGTGTTCAATACCTTATGGGCATATAACTTTTTTTCTCTTAAATGGTTGATAGTTTAAGGGAGTTTAACATAGATGATGCAAAAAATTTAAGAACAGCCGTATATGCAAAATCTAACAATAATGATGAAGTTAAAATAGAGAATTGAGTGACTTACTCAAGAAAGTCTTTGTTTGCTTTCTTAGGTTTAGTGAGAAGCAAGGAGACCGTAGAGGAAAGAGAATGGCAAATGAACAATCCATTAATCTGTGAAAGGATTTTTTATCGTGATAAAAGGTACAATGTTGGTGTGAGATATACAAACGGTTTTGTGTTTGGTGAGTTTAGATCTTGGAAAAGCACGTTTATTTATAGCGTTTTGAGAAGATTTGTATGGTTTTTAGGTTAGAGATTTAAAAAAATTTGGTGAGCAAGTGAAATATATCTTTACAAATCTGTGAATCGAGAATCTATAGAATATGCCACATATATGCTATGAAAAATAAGAACAAAATCGTTTACTTATTTAACATTTCTAATTCATTGGATGAGATTGAATTTTGAATTGATATTGTTCATTTTATTTAGGAAACAAACTGACTTGCATCAAAATCTCTAGTATTATAATAGGAAACAATTTGATTGTCAAATATTGGTTTATTAGAACCATATATACGTAAAAATATTGTCAAATCTTTCTAATATTGTCAAATCTTTCTAAACTAATTACATGTAGTATTTGTAGAAATTAGGCAAGATCCAATTGAAGATTTCCAATCATTTTAATTTGTTAGGATTTTGTTTAGGAAAGTCTCACATTATATGGATCTGAAATTATTTAAGGATTAAAATCAATAAGTAGATATTCAATTTGTTATAACTATATATATTCTCTATATCTTTCAATTATGAGAAAGTAAATGTTGTTTGCCTTGAATGTAGGAAAAATCAAGTAACTAAGTGAATATTTAGTCGAATTACTTGATTTTTTTTTTGGAAAGTCTCATTTAAAAGAATCCGAGAGTTTTGATTGGCTATTGAGTCGGGTCAAAAAAAAAATCCGGGTCAAAATCTAACTAAAAACCCGACCCGATTGGCTTTGAGCAAATTTGTACTTCAAAAATGTATAGTAGATGGTGCGTTAATAGATACGCATCGTTCACATATTTGTCTCGGCTTGTTCAAGATTTGCGGTCGGATTTGTTTATCACAGAAAATCATGCCTCTGGTGGTTACCGATTTGAGGTAATCAAAATTACCTTTTCTTTTTTATTCAACACTAGAATAAAACTTAATTTTCACATCTCTATATTATTATTTGAGAAGTTTAGTAAAAACCTAACATTTAATTTTTAAAATATCACATAGAATGATATTAATAAATAACATAAGTAATTTAATTATAAAAAGGTATATATGTCATTCAAAATAATTGTTGTAATTATCTTTGTTCTAGTCTTCTTTTTCATAAATTCTTTTAAGAAGATTATTTTCTAAAAGAAATCACTTAAAATAAATAAACAATCCCACCTAAGTTAATCAAAAGTAAATTTGAAAGATTGTGTATATCCCAAAAAAAAAGGAAATATCTATACACAATTTAAAACGAAAAGAGAATTTCCATTTTTCTTAAAAAAAAGTTGGAGCAGAAAAAAGGAAACAAACCTAAAAAAAACTTATTCCCCTCTCTCTCGATCTCTATATAACTAACACTTTTCTATATATCTTCTTCAATTCCTCCTTTCCCAAGACTTGTTTATTTTCTCTCAGAACAAAGCAACAATGGGGCATATTTTCTCAGCGAATAACCAACAGAGAGTGATAACAACAAGGCCAGAGCTTGACGAAGAGATTGTTCTCTTTCGTCAAGATAAACTAATCTCGTCTTTCCTCGAGATCGCTGTCGGTCAGACCACAGAAACCGCAAGGAGATTCTTACAAACAACAGATTGGGACATTAATCAAGCCATCAACCTCTTTCTCACCAACAACAATGATTCTTCGATGTATTACGACAATCAGGACGCAGACTCTACGACATCAGGAACGTCCGATGATGCAGACTCTGAAGAATCAGAGTCGAGATTGTCTTCCTCGTTTCCTCCTCCTTTGTATATACTTCAAGAGGGTTTGTTTGAAGAAGCAATGTCTATTTCAATTGCAAATAATCTATGGTTGATAGTGAATCTCCAGTCCAGGACGGAGTTAGCTTCTCATACACTTAATAGAGATGTATGGGCGAAGGACGCGGTTTCGCGAAACATTGAGTCCAGCTGCATCGTATGGCAGGTCTATGATGATACAAACGAAGGTCAGAAAGTCTCTAGCTTCTACAAGATCGAATCTGCTCCTCCTGTGGTTTTTGTAATCAATCCCATCACTGGCCAGAAGATGCGTATGTGGAGTGGCGTGATTGAACCTGACAGTTTTGTCGAGGATTTGATGATGTTTAGGGACGCTGGTCCTCACGAAAACATTGCTTCTCTGACAAGGAACAGGCGCACGGAAACTACAGAGACTTGTTCGTTAAGCAACAACATCTATTATGAAACCCCTCCTCCTTCCTGGGGTGAAGAGTTTGAAAAGGAGGATACTTGTTCGTCAAGAAACAATAACAATCAAGTCGTGGCTCCTTGGGAGCAAGAATTTGAAGACCAAGACAGGGGGGAGACTTGGTCGTCACGCAGCGACACTGATGACTTTGTGCCTCCTTCTATAGCGGACGAATATGAAGACTCTGATGAAGTAAAGGAGGAGGAGGAGACTTGTTTAGTGTTCCCGGTTTTGGCAGAAGAGCCAAATGGAGACTGTGATCGAAGTTTTGTGTGTAGTCTCTGCGTTCGATTTCCAGATGGGAGAAGAAAACAGAGGAGATTTCTCAAGAGCGAACGGATTCAGCTTCTTTGGTCTTTCTGTTATTCTCTCATGGATGAATCTGAGAAAAGGTCGTTCAAGCTGGTGCAGGCGATTCCCGGTGCTTCCAAGACTCTAGATTATGAAGCTGACACCACGTTTGACCAATCCGGGCTCGCTAATTCGATGATCTCGGTTACTTGGGAGTGAAAGCTTTTAAGGTTAGGTTAACCTTTGGGTTTAAGTTTATCGGACATGGTGCTGAGTTGTTCCTTCGTTATTACATTGTAGTTCATTGTGAAGAAAACAAGTACCTTTCTAGTATTCTATACATTCTTGTGGTTGGATATCATGTTCAAATATGCGATTAGATCAACACATATCACACTTCCAAATCACTTTAGTGGCTATATCTTGGCCTCAAATCGCAAAATGGATCAGAAATCTTTCATTTTTGATGCGAATAGTCAATTGCTAACTCACGTTAGGGTACTTCATGACATTCTGTTTTAGAGCAAGATATCAGTTTTAAAGCAGACAAGTCCCCACAATACGGGTTGACTAGTCTAAGAATTTTAGCACCATTCAAAAGTGAACATGTAGACTAAATTAAACATATAATATTTCTGTTTCATGTTAGGGTTTCAAAAGATTTAACTATGGAGTTTGAGCTAATTTGATCAAGAATCTTATGAAACATGTGAATTTTGTTTACCGAAAAAAATGGGTAAGGTTCTTTTTTCTTGAACATTATGAGAAGGCGAGCTACTTGTTTGGCCCAAAACATACATACATGTATGGAGGACCAATGATTTTAATTGTCCGACAAATCATCAATATATATATTTCATTATATTTATACACGATTTCACTGGATATGGTTCTATTTATTTATCAATTATATAAATATGATTTTTTTTCAAAATTTCAAAGAGTTTCAATTCTTTTTGGGCAAACTTATAATTTCATTAAAATTAAGCTTAAAACTCTATCGAAAGAGGTGATACAACCCAACAAATGGAAAATACATAAAAAAAAAAACCAAAGCAAGAAATGCTTACATGTCCATAAGACCATAACTAGGGATAGATTGAAGATACAAATCAAAATAAACTTGACAAACCAACTACATGATATATGAAGTCTTTCCATCTGTTAGACATATATTTAGTTTAAGTTTTCAATAATCATATAATACAACGTGGAATTGTTGTATTATACGTTGTATACTTGTATTATATGATTATTGAAAACTTAAACTAAATATATGTCTAACGGATGGAAATACAACGTGGAATTGTTAAAAAAAAAAAAAAAAAAAAAACAACGTGGAATTGTTTCACAATTCAGTCCTCCATAAATCACTACGATTCCTACCTCGACTGCCCATATATATAAAGTGATGAACGATCGCATCCACCAAAAAGCGTATCACTCGCCTCCTCATATAGGTCGTCTAAAAATGTCGTTTAATAGCCGAATTTTCAAAAAATGGCCGTTTAATATGTGAACTTCTTATATGGCCAATTTAAACATGAAATATTCGTTGACCAGGCCAAAAACCACATGCTGTTATCTGTCGTTAACAGATCCGATAATAACCGTTAACGATTCTGTTATTACCTAAAACGACGTCGTTTTAAGCTTAATCGAACTCCCTAAATCCCCAAATCGACGTCTTTTTCTTCGTATTTGACACCGGCCACGAGCTTTGTCTCCGACATTCGGTTGAACTAGAATTCCATCTCTGCCACCTGGCTCTGAAACGCTTCTGCCAGTGGAGCTTGAACTCTGTCTCAGACAACAATCTCAGATTCGCCTCGAGCTTCAACTCCAGCATCCACAACACTCTCTGCTTTGCCTCGAAAATCGGCTTTAAGGTTCTAAATTTGGGGATTTTTCAGAATTAGGGATTTGAAAATCAATTTGGGGATTTTCGGGGTTTAGATTAAGCCCAAAACGATGTCGTTTAGGCAATAACGGAATCGTTAACGAGAGTTAAACGACTGTTATCAGATCTGTTAACGACAGATAACGGCGTGTGGTTTTTAGCCTGGTCAACGAATACTTTATGTTTAAATTGGCCGGTCAACGTTTACTTCATGTTTAAATTGGCCATATAAAAAGTTTACGTATTAAACGGCCATTTTTTGAAAGTTCGGCTATTAAACGACATTTTTCCCCTCTAACAAGGCATTTAAAAGCATCTCTGAGTACCCCACCATTTTAAATATTTCTACGGTGCTGATATGCGAGAATTTCTCTTTCTTTTTAAAAAGATATTTTTCTCTCATTTTTTTTCTTAGGGTCCAATCTATGTTTTAAAACAATAATTTTTGAAAATATTTCTTCTTAGATTTTTTTTTATTATTATCACATATTCCAAAATAGAAAAGAATCTTCTTTTATAATTGTTATCTTATTGTACAATTAACACCCCCAAATTAAAGAAAGAACCAGACTACGAGATCTGAGTCATCTTACAAATACAATTGACTACCTCAATAACACTCTTTTGTTTTGTTTAATAATAGAACTGGTTCATTACATGGATTGGAGTTGATTAGCACACTTCATATATATATATATATATATATATATTTGCTTCTAAAGAGTGTTCTATGATATCATAAATCTCTGTGGACACGCTACGCTTTTAACATTTGTGGTTGTAAAGAACAGAAAGCTTCACGACAAAAACAAAACTAAAGGGGTCGTTTTAACATAATGAATAACTTTAGGGTCTAAATTCAATTTCCTTTAAAAAACTTTTTGCCGTTTTGTCCTGGAAATTTGTACTGAACTGAAATCCGACATGTTGGTGAGATCCAACGAATTATAAAATTATCAAAAAGAAGCAAAAAAAAAAAAAAAAAAAGGTCGTGTGCCCAGAGAATCACATATACAGAGAGATTCATCGAATCATCAGCTCTGTTTTCTATAAGAAGATGCATCTGATTAATGCGGTGGCGGCGGCGAGGATGTTATCCGGAATCGGACAATCTAACGGTAACGGAGGTGGTGAAGCGATTCCGTTTGGATCGTTTGAGTGGATCACTTACGCCGGAATCTCTTGTTTCCTCGTACTCTTCGCCGGGATTATGTCTGGTCTTACTTTGGGACTTATGTCTCTTGGTCTTGTCGAGCTTGAGATTCTTCAACGTAGTGGTACTCCTAACGAGAAGAAACAAGCCGGTGATGATTTGATTCTTCGTCTTTCTTAATTATTCAAATTCTTTGTTGTTGAATTTGTTTTTGTGATTGTGATTATGTTTGAATGATTTGTTTCAGCTGCGATTTTTCCGGTTGTTCAGAAACAACATCAGCTTTTAGTGACACTGCTTCTGTGTAATGCTATGGCTATGGAGGTAAATCTCATATTCAAGTCTCTTTGTTATATAGTTAATATGAGGAAGATCTATACTTAGTTGATTTTGGAATTTTGGCAGGGTCTTCCTATATACTTGGATAAGTTATTCAATGAATACGTTGCGATTATTCTTTCGGTTACATTCGTTCTTGCTTTTGGTGAGGTATGTGTTTTTTGGACTTGGACGTGTCTCTAGTTTTGATAATCTAAGCTTATGGTTATCTATCAAAGATTGGACTGACTTTAACATTTGCTTTCGCGTTTTAAGGTTATTCCTCAAGCGATATGCACTAGGTATGGACTCGCGGTTGGAGCGAATTTTGTCTGGCTTGTCCGCATTTTAATGACTCTCTGCTACCCTATTGCCTTTCCCATTGGCAAGGTAAATCTAGAGTGTCTGGTCAAGAATGTTTTGGAACATACTCTTGTATGAGTTGTTGCTGACACCGTCGCTATATGCTTGTTCTTGTTGTATACAATGAATTCAATATTTTAGGTTTCTCTTCTGGCTTTAAATTATCTTTTTCGGTTAACATTTTTTGTGCTTTTGGTTAGATCTTAGATTTGGTACTGGGACACAATGACGCTTTATTTAGGCGGGCTCAGTTGAAAGCTCTTGTATCCATTCACAGCCAAGAGGTATTAGAGACTTTGAAGAAGCTGAATACTTTGTTTACTTTCTAACAACTTATGGAATTTTGAGTTACTAATTTGGCTAACTTGTTGCAATGACTATGCTTTTAGGCTGGTAAAGGAGGTGAGCTTACGCATGATGAGACGACAATCATTAGTGGAGCTCTTGATTTGACTGAGAAGGTATGTGCTTGACTTGATAACATTCCTGAATCATGGGTAAAAAATATAGTGAAAGTTATTCATTCAGAAGTGCTATTTGGTTTGACAGACTGCACAAGAAGCTATGACACCAATTGAATCTACCTTCTCCTTGGATGTAAATTCAAAATTGGATTGGTGAGTTTGGCAGGTGTCTTACTTGTATGAAAGATTTTATCTGTTGTCTCAATGTTCCTCTATTAATGACTCTGAAAAGTCTTGCATGGTAGTCGTTCCTGCAACTATGTGTCTTATTCTGCTTTCCGTGTAATTTATCTCTTAGGGAAGCAATGGGTAAGATTTTGGCACGAGGCCATAGCCGCGTTCCTGTCTACTCCGGAAATCCAAAAAACGTTATTGGCCTTCTCTTGGTAATGTCATTGACTCTTATTTTACTTGTTTCAATGCTTGTTTATCTCATGCATTGGGGCCATTGGCAATCTCTATATAATCAAGAAATTCTTCTTTCTTATAGGTGAAGAGTCTACTTACTGTTCGCCCTGAAACAGAGACCCTTGTCAGCGCAGTTTGTATACGCCGAATTCCAAGGTTTTGCCATTACTATTTTGACCTCCAGTCTTTTCCATTTTGTTTCCGTGAGCACTAAGTAGAATGAAACTTCGTATTGTCATGTTGTAATACTTCAATAGGGTTCCAGCTGATATGCCTCTGTATGATATACTGAATGAGTTTCAAAAGGGAAGTAGTCACATGGCTGCAGTTGTGAAGGTTAAGGGGAAAAGCAAAGTTCCTCCTTCAACTTTGCCTGAAGAAAACACTTGCGAAAGCAATGACTCCGACTTGACTGCACCTCTGTTACTAAAACGAGATGGAAACTACGACAATGTCATTGTCACGATCGACAAGGCTAATGGACAATCGTTCTTTCAAAACAACGAGAGTGGACAACACGGGTTCTCACATACTTCAGAGGCTATTGAGGATGGCGAGGTAATCGGTATCATCACTTTAGAAGATGTGTTTGAAGAACTTCTGCAGGAAGAGATTGTGGATGAAACAGATGAATATGTTGACGTACATAAAAGGTTCGACTAATACTCTCTCTATGGCATCATATCATCATATATCATATCATCACTGAGAAATTTCGCTTTTGCAGGATTCGAGTAGCAGCAGCAGCGGCTGCTTCATCAATAGCGAGAGCTCCTTCAAGCCGGAAATTGCTTGCACAAAAGGGAACAGTGAGTTAACTTTCTTTTGTTCTTTGTTGTTATGCAGGAGAGAAGTTAAAATTGATGTAACTTTTAATTGCAGGGAGGACAAAATAAGCAAGGGCAGACGAATAAAGGTGCTGGTCAGGAACAAGATAAAATGCTTGGAACTATTACCGAGCCGATTCGAAGAAACAACTGATATTATGTTGTTGCTTAAGGAACCAAAAACTCTGTTGCGGTATAAAGAAAGAAAACAAAGAATAAACTAAATGATCCAGGTTCTTCTGTATACTTGATCCATCACATAAATTATATATATAAAAAAAGTCGGCAGAAGAAATGGTTCGTCCCAATTTTTGAAGATGTTTTGTTTTCTACGGATATATTTATGTATTCTACAAAATACGTACAATTTTGTAATTTACTCTGTAACTTGATTCTTTTTTTTTCTTTTGTAGTTCAGTCAATTTTTTCGTAGAATGCAGTAGCAATAATTAGCTATATGGTAACATACCAGTGTGGCCGCTATTTTGTAATTGCAATAGTTTTGAAACAATGGATCAAATATTTCTCCATGCATGGCTAATCTTTGATACACCGATGGCTTTTGACAAAGTCTTTTAGACAAGGAAAAATCCATCGATAGCTTTGTCAAATTTCGTGTCTCATGTTTATGTTTTACAAGTGAGAGAAAAGTCACTCATCTCCAACTTTACGCCATGTATTTGATATCAGCACAGGCCGGTTCCGGGCCGTGAGGAACTAGGGCCCAAGGTGGAGTAGCTTTGCCTTTACCTTAGCTTTTCGATGCCATCTTCGTTTCAGGCAGTGGCCGTCTAGGCAGAATGAGAATATACACCTCTGGATGACCGAAGAACCAAAAGAGATGCTGGTATAAAATTGGGTCTCCCCCTCCATCCACTGACCCGGACCTGCATGGAATGGTCCACTCGAACGGGTTTGGTTCGTTCCTTTATGAGGTCTTATCGGGATAGGTAGGCCCAAGCCGCTCTTTCAAGGGTGGCTGCTTCTAGGCAAACCTCCTTGCCCAAACCCCTCGATGTTAACCAAAAAAAATCTCGTAGATGACGGCACAATCACACATTTGCAATATACAATTCCAATATAAAAAACAAAATTTTATAATATGTGATTCATAAACGTCGCGGATATTCGCTAAAGGGTGTTTGTCAGATTGTGTAAGATCCATTCCGTACAAGATCTTGCAACCAGCACTAGGCCTGGGCACAAATATGGATCCACATAGAACCGAACCGAACCAAAATTGATGGGTATGGTTCGGTTCCGGTTCTAGTGAAAATATCGATTGAATCTTGAATCAAAGAACCATGGGTATCGGTTCGGTTCGGGTACAAACCGATATCCATTCGGGTACCCAAAAAATATTACCCATTAACCTATATCTATATAACTCAAAGTCTTAAACCCATCTAGACATAAACCTAACTATCCAAGCCTAACAACCTACCATATATCTCTCTTAAAGTCTTATATATTTTTTGAAACCTAAAGAAAAATCCTAGTTTGTTCTCTCTTTCTCAAAGAAGGAGATGTCGCAGACAACAACTCTCTCTTTCGAATTATTGCAAATCGAAGACAAAGATTCTTTTGGTGTCTTTAAAACTTGTGTTTTGTGGTATTTTTGAAACTTTTGGGTGTCTTTTGATTTAATACTTTCCAAGTTTCAACTATTTTTTGAATTTGTAATGGTATGATGACTAATATGTGATGTTGCATTGCATACTTGCATAATTGCATTTAAATTTTGCATTATAATTCTATTGTTTTTTCGGTTCCAAATATATCCGAAACAGTTTGGTTCCTACTCGGTTCCAAAATTTATTACCTGAACCGAACCGAACCGAATTAGAACCGAACCGATATTGATTTGGTTCCAATATGGTTCCTAAATCTCAGAACCAAAATACTTGCAACCGAATGGTTCGGTTCTAGAACCGAACCGAATACCCAAACGCCCAAGCCTAACCAGCACCATAAAGAAAAAAAAGTAAAGGGGTGGATTTAAAAAAATAAGAAATATTGGGGACCAATAATAATAAAAAAAAAACAAGAACAAATTTTTGCTGTTTATGCTAAGAATTCAAAATTGTACAGAGAAACCCGACCCCATTAGGTCGACGGTGAGAGATATTTAAAAACAACAAATTGTTGAGAGGAGAAAATATCTTAAAAGGCGTCGGAAGTTGACAACAGATAGAGTCATAGAGACGACGACGACGACGATGCATCCGATTAATGCGGTGGTTGCGGCGAGGATGTTGGCCGGAATCAGTCAATCTAACGCCTTAGAAAGCGAAGCCATCCCCTTCGGATCGCTTGAGTGGATCACTTACGCCGGAATCTCTTGTTTCCTTGTTCTCTTCGCCGGAATTATGTCTGGTCTCACTTTAGGGCTTATGTCTCTTGGTCTCGTCGAGCTCGAGATTCTTCAACGTAGTGGTACTCCTAAAGAGAAGAAACAATCTGGTGATTGATCTTTCTCTTTTGTATTAAGAATTGTTTGATTGAATCTGTATCTGATCCTGAATTTTGCTGTGATGGTGAATTTTGCTTGCGATTGATTTTTTTTTTTTTTTTTTTTCAGCTGCGATTTTTCCGGTTGTTCAGAAACAGCATCAGCTTTTAGTGACTCTGCTTCTGTTTAATGCACTTGCTATGGAGGTGATTATCTTGAATTCAAGTCCAAAACTTTCTATGTTCGTTGTGATGATGAAACCATGATCTTAAGAGGGCTTCACTTGTTGAAAATTTGCAGGGGCTTCCTATATACTTGGATAAGATATTCAATGAGTATGTTGCTATTATTCTATCGGTCACTTTCGTGCTATTTGTTGGAGAGGTTTGCTTTTTGCTCTTCTACCTCTAAAGTCTTGCTAGGTTTTAACATCGCTTCCTGAGCATTGAATACTGTTTTTATTTCAGGTTATTCCTCAAGCTATATGTTCTAGGTATGGACTAGCAGTGGGAGCTAATTTGGTTTGGCTTGTCCGTATCTTAATGGTTTTGTCCTACCCGATATCTTTTCCTATTGCAAAGATGTTGGATTGGGCATTGGGACACAATGACCCTTTATTTAGGCGGGCTCAGTTAAAAGCTCTTGTGTCCATTCACGGTGAAGCTGCTGGAAAGGGAGGTGAACTTACACATGATGAGACTACAATCATAAGTGGAGCACTTGATTTGACTGAGAAGACTGCTCAAGAAGCCATGACACCAATTGAATCAACATTTTCCTTGGATGTAAATTCAAAGTTGGATAGGTGAGTTTGGTTCTCAACTGTTATAGTATGATGAAACATATTCCTGTTATCTCAATGTTCATCTATTATTGCACTGTTCATGTAGGTTAATAATCTATATGGTTATTTGTATTTGGATTTTGAAACTGGAGCATGGCACTCAGTTCTGTAACCATCTCTATATAACATGTCTGACTCTGTATCCTTTACTGTTTTGTTTGTGATTAATCTCCTAGGGAAGCTATGGATAAGATTCAAGCACGAGGTCACAGCCGCGTTCCTGTCTACTCTGAGAATCCAAAGAATGTTATTGGACTTCTCTTGGTAGGTGTTGTTGACCTTTTTCTGGTTGTATGATTTGCATGTTTCAATGGAAGCTTATGCAAACTCTAATCAGGAAATTCTTCTGTTTTCTAGGTGAAGAGTCTACTTACAGTTCGTCCTGAAACAGGGACCCTTGTCAGTGCAGTTGGTATACGCCGCATTCCAAGGTTTTGCCGTTATTATTTTGCTTGCTATCTTTCCATATCTTTTCCTTAAGCATCTCTGTGAACTACGAAGTCGCTGTTGTGATAAAAGATTAAACTGTTTAATTTAAACAGGGTTCCAGCTGATATGCCTCTGTATGATATACTGAATGAGTTTCAAAAAGGGAGCAGTCACATGGCTGCAGTTGTGAAGGTTAACGGGAAAAGCAAAGGTCATCCTTTAACTTTGCTTGAAGAAAATAGCAGTGAAAGCAACGTCTCAAGTAATAACTCCGAGTTGACTGCACCTCTGTTACTAAAGCGAGAAGGAAACCACGACAGTGTCATTGTCCGCATCGACAAGGCTAATGGACAATCGTTCACCAGCGAGGCCGGCAGACACGGATTCTCGCATACTTCAGAAGAGATTGAGGATGGAGACGTAATCGGTATCATCACATTGGAAGATGTGTTTGAAGAACTTTTGCAGGAAGAGATTGTGGATGAAACAGATGAGTATATAGATGTGCATAAAAGGATCCGTGTGGCGACTGTAGCAGCAGTGGCCATTTCATCATTAGCGAGAGCACCTTCAGGCCGGAGGTTACTTGGCCAAAAGGGATCTGTAACTGTAAGTAACACACTCTCTTGCAAAACAAATGGTTTAATAGAAAGATCCGTAGAGATAAGAACCGGTTTTTGTTTTTTGCAGGGAGGACCAAAAACGCCAAAGACATCTTCGACTCCCAAACCGGACGATAAACTGATCGGAACCATGACCGGTCCTCCTCAAGGGAACAACTGATGATTTCAGGTGGGTGTTGAGTTTTTGCTTGAGATGTGAGAAATAAATAAGGTTTTGAAACGTAGATCAATTTAGAGCACCTTCTCTTTCACTACTTAACTACATATGTATAATACATACATGTAGATATAATCTACAATTCTTTCAAACATTTTAAAATCCGATATTATTATTTTGTATATTCTTATTAGATCCTTCACACTCCCATACAATAATATTTGTTCATGTGCAATTTTTCGAGGGAAAAGATTGTACCAGAACTAGCAGACGTAGTAGGAACCCACTAATAAGCACTTTGTTGTCTTTTAAAGCTTTGGTAAATTAATAAAAAAAACAGTTCTAAAGGCTTTTTGGGGCCAGGGCCATTAAAGGCGGCTAAGGCACATCAGCACATGATGAAGATAGAGAATTGGTCACCGGCGGTTAAGAGAGTGTTATGTAAGAATCCATAGAACAAAGTGAAAAAGTGAATGTTACTGTTTCAATATTCTCTTGTATCTTGCAAGAACATTGAGATGGCTTGAAGTGAATATAAATAACTTAGACACCATTCATCAGATTCCGTGTTGGGAACTTGTTAAACCAATTATCATCGATGACTTGTAGAAAACAAGAAAAAAATAATTTATCCCTTAAATCCATTAAACCCGCATTAACAATCCACTGGCTGCTAAAACTCTCCACTTAACCTAATAAGCACCACTAAATCCATAGAGGTTGTGTGACAAGTTTAAATAGGGGATTGAACTAATCATCCCACACCAAACTAAACAAGAAAACAAAGATGGAGATAATTCGGGTGAAAAAGATAGAGAAAGCGAGGATAATGAAGAAGAAGAAGAAGATACCGAATTTGACGATAAATAGGTTGCTTGTAAGCATCAAAGTCGTAGGGAGTACTGGACCCATTCGTTTTGTTGTCAATGAAGATGAAACAGTCACAAATGTTATAGATATTACTCTGAGATGCTATGCTCGCCAAGGAAGACTTCCTCTTTTCTCTTCTCATTCCACCTCTTTTTTCCTACTTTACTCTCCCTACTCTCCAAATCAACGTGAGACACACAATCAATCGTGTGGTTTTTCTTGATTTTGTCATTTGCATTTAGATCGTACGAATGGTGGTTACAATATTTTAACATATAAAGATAAACGTTTGCGAAAATATTGATCTAAGAAAAGAAAAACATGGCGTTGGCTCGGTCTCTCCAAAAGAAGTTGAACCTAGCCTAGGTCCCAAACTTCCTAGTTAACAAAAAATATTATTTGACGAGGCATTATACATTAACGTCATCACTTTATATGTATTGCAGCACTGAATCCATGTACCAGAATCGGGTCAACGGGGTCCATGAACTTCATTATGTGTAAGAATTCAGAAGCTGAGAACCTTGAAGTTTCTCTGGACAGAACCGGGAAGATTATTGGAAAGTGGAGGGCGTGGTTGAAAAACTCTTTGGCCTTAATGCTCCCATTACTCAAACAAATTTCCCATGGACAATCAACAACATCGACTAAATCTTGTTTGTTTTATAGTTGATCGCTCAATGGCAAGTTTTAACGACACATTTCGAACGAGTAATCACTAGAAAAATAAATATTTCAGTTTCAAACAAACGATTAGTCATTCTCAATAATCGGGCGACACAATGTAATTATAAGTTCTAAGAACTAAAATATGTTTTTTAATTACCAATGGCAGAGAAAAAAAAAGTTATGAAAAAAAAAGTTGAGAGTTTACACGGCGAAGAAAAAAAAAAACACAAAAGCATAGAGGTTGACTAAAGTCTGAAGAGTTTATCAGCCTTGACGATAGGGTTTTGTTTTGCTAAGACGTCAATGGCTGCAGATTTATAATCCGATGGACAAGAATGCTCTTCAGGGTAGCGGTGAGACCCGCAGAACATGTGGCCACATCTACAGTGAAACCCTAGCAACCCAACCTTCTTCTTGCACGCATTGCATCTACTACTACTCTTCTTATCCTTCTTCTTCACCACAACCGCCTCCACCGCTGTTTCCTCTTCGGCTGTGACCTCTTCAGCAGCCTCTGCCGCTGTTTCCGGGTTGATGTTGAAAGTGTCCAAGTATCTGGCTGACTCGTCCTTTAAGAAATCGTTGTAGCACTTAGAACAGAGGTTCTTGGTTTGTGACGTGCTGAAGAAGCCACACCCTCTAATGCATAAAGATGGTTCTCCTGTCATTATCTCTTAGCTTAATCTTTTATAATTGCAACTTTATCTGTCTCTCTGTCTTTGCCTTCTTGTTTTGGTTCTCCACAATCGAATCTTATGTTTGCAACGTTTTGTGTAATTTGACTTCGCCTTCTTATTTGCTTTCGCTCTTCACAATCTAATCTTATGTATGAAAACTTTGTATGTCTTGAGTTTTTATAGAGTTTTCAAAAGCCTTTCTCTGCCCTAATCAAATTAGGTTTTTTTTTTTTATCTTCAATATTTTTTATTTTTTGTGGACCCGTATATAAATAGAATCATAATGCAATCATGATTACAATTACAGCGGACTAATCCAATTCTTAGTGAAAAAACATATAACATTATCTTTTGAAATTAATAAATATTATAGTTTTGACTCCGCAAAAATCGAGTAATAAAAAGATTACTCAGTTGCTTATTTTAGCCTTCTAAAAGTACTCATCGCAAAAGTAACAGAGAGAGAAAGAGAGAGAGAGAGACAAGACCGTGAGCTCTGGAACAATGCAGGATGCGAAGACCAACGGGTAAATTGATTCAATGGAAACGTACATCGCTTGCATTAAAGGCCTCTCTCCATTTATCTGATTGCCTCAGCAAGTTTCTCCTCCCTGAGATGAATTCAATGATTCTCATTAGCAAAACCCATCAATAGCCTTTATGTTTTAAAGAAACAAATGTTAGAAGACGAGAAACCGGGAGAGGCGGAGAAGTCTGAAACCTGCAGCTTTTGGGGTTCGGTTTTGTCCCCATTGTTGCTAGACTTAGAATTGGTTTCTACACGCTTCCCTTTGAATGAGAAATTGAATCCAGAAGCAGTAGCAGTGGAGGTTGATACATGAGCAGACCCTCCAAAACGTTTTGAAGAAAAATCCAAGCGTTCGATCATTCGTGCAACACCAGCTATTCCTGCATTCATCTCACGTTGCACTCCTTTGCTCAATTCTTTCACAGAGTTATTGCGAGCAAGTAGCTTCTCTTTGAGACCTTGTTTACTTTTAGAGATCGATTCTTTGTACCTGCGGGGATGTCACGGTCAGTTTTTGTTACCAACTTCTGAACAAATGAAGAGGGATTGAGATTGACATACTTTGCGGAAGCAGCAGCTAGTTTGGATTTAATGGCTTCCGGAAGCGAGGAAGCTTCAGGTCGATTTGGACTTTGAGATGAACGAGATGGAGAAAGGCCAGGGGAGATTCTGATGACAGGTACAAGAAAAGATGTAGATATATTAAATAGGTGAGTTCTAACCAATATAAAGGCTTGAGCATTCTCCAAGAAGACGCTGCATAATGAAGAGACATAGTCTAGAATTCCAAAGCCCCATCTAAATTATTTATCAGTAGACAAAACTCCCAGTAACTAAGCGAAACAGGAGCTATAAAAGCATCTGCATTGTGCAGCCTTGTCCCATATACACATTTTATCGAGAAAACTCAAGCAAATAGAAACCACATAAATCATGAAAGCTGGGTATAGAGACAACCCAAGCAAATATAGACCGAGTACATCATGAAAGTTTGTTATCGATAAACCAGACTTGATTCAATACCTGGATGCGTTGTTGCTATCTGCAGGAACGGGAGAGTGACCAGAGACAGGAGATGCGGTCATTGAGCCAGGACTTGGACAAGGGTTTGTGTTTTGATGTTCAACATGGGAAATAGCAGAGATACGATAAAGATTGACCAAATCAGTAGGATGAATTGTAGTGGGATCAGTGGACGAAACAAGACTTGAGGATATTTGACCATCCCTTCTGCGAAGCAAACAACGTCTATGGGCAGCTTCAGTGAGATGCCTCAAGAACTGTTCATCAAAGCTGCTAAACTGCGATTCCTCCTGGAAACATCATCAAGTCAACTACAAGAACTAAAAGTCCTTAATTTTAAAAAATCACAGTGGATAAGTTTTGAACCTCCTCAGAGTGAAAATCCTCCTGAGAGTGATGAATAGATATTGGAGATGATGAAGAAATGTTCCTGGTTTTCAAAAGTCGTTCCTTTTCCACAGCAGACAAAAGCTCTTGGCTACCAAAACAAAGGAACCAATACTATTTAGACCCTAACTGTGAGCAAAGTATCATGAGAACAAAATAGTTGTTTCTCCTAAAGATGAATTCGTGAGTACCTAGCAGGATCTCTCAAAACAAACAATTGCCAGCAAATAGGACACTCTTTGCTTCTCTGTGACCTGTGTAAATAATAAGCCCCAATTACAAATCAATCACTGGTAAATATATGAGCAGAAGAACACGATTCAAAACTAAAAACAAAGATAAATACCATTCAATGATGCACTGAAGATGATATTCATGTTTGCAACTGGTGACCTGAAAAAACCATAGGAAGATTTAGATATTGGGACATCGGAGAAGAAAACAACAATCGAACATAAGAAGAAATGATCGAGTAATCATCAAACGATTTCGTATTAATCTAAGGCAAGGAACAATCAGATTATCCTCATGAAGAGCTCATAGAGAAATTGTAGAAAAAGAGAGAGAGAGAGAGAGAGAGGAGGGATAATAAGAATCTGACAGTGGAAGGATCCTGGAGAGTGAAAGGCTCGAGACAGATGCTGCAAGCGTCGTCGGAATCATCATCGGAAGGTACGACGAACGCGGAGGAAGAAGAAGCAATGGCGGAATCAAAAGGGGAGTCAGATAAGTTGAAAGCAGAAGTATAAGTGAAATTAGACATTGTTGTTGAAGCGAAGATGGAAGAAGAAGAAGAAGAAGAAGAAGAAGCTGAGGATTGAGAGAATTTGAGATTTAAGAGGTTGAAGAAGAAGAGATTTGATCAAAAAAAAAAAAAAAAAAAAAGACTGACAAGTCAAAGCAAAGGAAAAGTCAAAAAAGAGATTGCAAGGAGGATGAGAGTAAAGTTCGATTCGACTGTTTTTCACTTTTACGGAAAAACGGTCTATTTCCCCACGAGAAGTATCGCATCATAACAGATAGAGCCCAAACTTTAATCCCGGTCTATATGTCTCTGAAAAAAATGTTTTATACCTATTTCTCCCCGAAACATAAATTCAATAGCTAAATCTCCCCGAATTAATACTTCGAGATCTATTAACCCACATGTCTGGTTTCGTCGGTTTAAGTTTACTAAACCGTTTATAACCAAAGAAAACCTGAATTTGACCCGATTGAAACAAAAACCCAATCCCCTTCTTCTTCTTTCCTCTCCTTCTTCTCTTCTATTCACCCGAATTCACGATCTGCGTTTTATTTTTGTCAAAAGTAGAATTTGACTTTTCTTCTTGTGATTAAACCACTTATGATTAAGATTTTTATTCGCCAAAATCTTATAACCTTTGATGAGATAGCTTAAATGATTCAGATTCAAGATCAAAATGGTCTTTTTTATAAGAAACAAAATCATAATCTGCAGGTTACGATCTGATAAAAAACAATTGGTTTCGATGCAACTTTTAGAATCGCAATTCTCAATAGCAAAGAGATCAAATACGAAGCTGCAGGTTTCGATCTGATATCGAACAACATTCCAAACCAATTTTAGTTTTGTATCAGGTTTCCTAGAACCGATAATTTTTCTTATTTGCAGAGAATAGGAAAAAAAAAATTGCAGGTCTCAACACAGCCTTAAAATTGCAATTCAAAGCTGAGTTATAACCAAAGCAACATTCACTTTCGAACCTCCAATGAGAATTTTAGTTATGCAAACCAAACACAATTTCGAGACTCATAAGCTCTCGTCATAGTGTGAATGGTCTTTATCCAATTGTAATTGGTAAACAAAATCTGAGACTTGTGTTTGCACAAACTCTTTTTATGTTTATGAAAATTTGATTTCAATTCGATGTTTGCACAAACTCTCTAATTGGTATTATTTATAAACGAAGAGAATCCAAGCAATGTCACATTAATGGTATCGAGACCCAAATATTTTAAGGTGAAGAAGAAGAAGAAGATGGATCGTTAATGGGTTGGCTGGGTTCGGGTTAACTTTTGATAATTTGGGTTTAGTTTTGGTTAAAGTTTGTTTTAAAATGGTTAAGACTGAATTTTTGTACATTAAACCGACAAAACCCAGACATGTGGGTTAATAGATCTCGAAGTATTAATTCGGAGAGATTTAGCTATTGAATTTACGTTTCGGGGAGAAATAGGTATAAAACATTTTTTTTAGAGACATATAGACCGGGATTAAAGTTTGAGCTCTATCTGTTATGATGCGATACTTCTTGTGGGGAAATAGACCGTTTCTCCCACTTTTACCTTTTCTTTCTCTCTTTTTTTATTACAACTTGGGCTTTGTATAGTCCACTAGTTTTAGATTCTAAACATACTTCGCCATTAGATAACGGACCCCAACTCCTGGGCTAAGTTATGTTGGGTTAATGTGGTTTTCTATCGGTTTAATTTGTAAACTGATTAAATCCAGATATATAGACAAATAGATGAAAACTATTTGATTTTGGAAGAACATTAAGTTGAGAACTATATTTTCGGGAACATATAGCACGAGGTCATAAATTGGTGTGGATCTGGTATGATGTCATAGTTATCGTGAGGAAATATATCGCTTTCCCCATTATTTTAGATAAAGTTTTAATATATGATAACTCTTGTAAGATTAGAATTTGTTCATACTTAGATTTGGTTCTATCTTCTAAATTACAAGAGGCTGAAATGTATTTAAACATAGATGTATTGACCTTTGAATAAAACAACATAGAATTTATATCAATATGACATTTTTTTTTTTTGGTAAATCGAAAGGAGACAAGTCTCCCGTTATTTAATAAAAAATAAAAGAACAATTACAAACGCACATTTCGGGGGCGCGAAACCCCTTCAATGTCTTCTAACATAATCGAAATGACAAACTCCGGACAATCATCTAACATATGAAAGCCTAGTGGTAAAGTAAACGCATAGTTGGCTAATCCGTCTGCGAGACGATTCGCTTCCCTATACACATGTAACACCCGGACTATCCAGTCCCTTGATAAAAAGTCATAGCACAAACGTACTAGGAAGGACAGCGGATGGGCCTCCCCAATCCCTGTTTTAAGAAAATTCACCACCATCTCCGAATCCACTTCTAATTCTACTCGCCTTATACCCTTCTCCCATGCTATGTATAGGCCAGTAGATTCCCCAAAGTTCCGCTAAGGGTGTCGACCATATCCCGATATTCAGTGCGAAACCCCCTATCCAATTCTCCTCTCCATCACGCAATACCCCTCCTGCTGCTGCCAAGCCGGGGTTGCCTCTAGACGCTCCATCGGTGTTCAGTTTCCAGCTTACACACGGTGGGGACCATGCAAAGAATCGCACTTCCCTCAGCGTCTTCCTCGGCTCACCCTCTGTTATCTCAAGATATGTTTTTTGTACCTCCACCGCAAGATCTTTGAGAAAACGGACTCGGTCTATGCATTTAGCTATATTTCCGAAAACATTTCCACACCTCCACTTCCAACCCCACCATATAGAGACTGCAAAGAGTGTAGCCCAAGGTCAACAATCTGTCTCGGACGTTTCACTTAAAGACCCATTCAAGTAGAGAGCCCTCAAAGAAAGCATCTCTTCTCCGTGATGGTACTAAACGGCGCCAAATGCCTTCCATTGATGGACAATCTCGTAAAACATGAAGGATACTCTCATCCCCACTTTTGCATATCTGACATAGGCCCGTATCACTGAGATGTCTTCTTAGTCTTTCCATGTTTGTCATTATCACTTGATGCACGACAAGCCATAGAAAGGTGCGGACTCGTTCCGGCGCAACAACTTTTCAAACTTGATTGTAGAAAGCTCGCATGTTCTGCCTCGGAGTACTGTCCCGTGTTATTGCTGACTTTACTGTGAATTTACCATCCAATTGGAGTTTTTTGTATATGTACATGAGATGCATTGTCTCTACTCGATTAACCAATAAGGAATAGAATCATATGGTCATTAATTCTTATATCAAAATTTTAATTTATGTGATAATTAATCTATCTACACATATTTCGTAAGCAACAAAAGAGCTTGGTCTGAAAACCAACCAAGACCATATGATGGGCACTCAAAGCCTCCATTTTGTTATCGGCTACTTCCACTAGCTTCCTTCTTCTTCTTCTTCTTCTTCTTCTTCTTCATCTTCATCTTCATCTGCGTCTCCTCCTGGTTCTCTACTTTACGATTGCTCACTAGGTAAGATAAGATACTGGAGAATTACTATTGCCCTTTAAATCAAGTTCGCTTTCTTGTTCTTCTCCTTGTCAATTATGTGTTAAAGATACAATCTTTATTCGGAATTGCTTTCACCGGTTTCAGCTAAGATACAATTTTCTTCCTTTTGTGTGATTTTGTTCCTTTTTAGCTTCAGAGTTCAGATTCATTGAAGCAGTTGTGACTTAAGGTGGAGAAATGGTTGTGTTTGGGAATGTTTCTGCGGCGAATTTGCCTTATCAAAACGGGTTTTTGGAGGCACTTTCTTCATCTGGAGGTATTGAATTGATGGGACACAGCTTTAGGGTTCCGACTTTTCAAGCACCTAAGACAAGAACAAGGAGGAGAAGTACTGCTGGTCCTTTGCAGGTGTCTCTCTGGCTTTTTACTTTGAATTCTCGAAATTTTATCTACTGTGTAAGTGTTATTTTGATTAAGAGAGGATATTTCAGGTAGTTTGTGTGGATATTCCAAGGCCAGAGCTAGAGAACACTGTCAATTTCTTGGAAGCTGCTAGTTTATCTGCATCTTTCCGTAGTGCTCCTCGTCCTGCAAAGCCTTTAAAAGTTGTAATTGCTGGTGCTGGTATGTCAATACTTCATTTCTTACTGCTCTCTTTGAGATCTGATGGAATTTATGTTCATCTGATGAAGCTCTTTGCCTCTCAAATAATTGCAGGATTGGCTGGATTGTCAACTGCAAAGTACCTGGCTGATGCCGGCCACAAACCTCTGTTGCTTGAAGCAAGAGATGTTCTTGGTGGAAAGGTACTTTGATTCGTCTCACTCTCTGAACAACTTGTTGTTGTTAACATCCATTATTCTTATAAGACTTGCTAGTTTCTGAAGGCCGTACTGATTGAGTTTGTGAGACTTCAAGTTATAATTAGTGTTACCGCTCTTAGGTAGCAAAATTTGGGTACATATATTTGTCTTTTTGTTGTTGTTGGTCTTTTACTGCCCAATTTTTATATGTTCTCATGTCTTCTGTCTTGTCCTACACATCACACAACCCCTTCCAATCTCTAGGCTTAATGTGAAACAATATAGAGTAGTTTACTGGAAGATATCTTTTTATTATATATTGTGTTACATTGATGTTGTGTTCTCTGGCTCTTGCGTTAGGTTCTTGTTTGTTTCGTTTTAGCAATTTACCTATCTTATTGGAGAGCAATATTAATGATGTGAAATTTGTCTTCCTCCAGATAGCTGCATGGAAGGATGAAGATGGGGACTGGTATGAAACTGGTTTACATATATTCTGTAAGTCCAAATTCATACCTTCTCTGTTGCTCCACCAATATATTTGTTATAAGTTGCTCACAAGATGGTTGATATTTGAATTTACTTCGGATTTACCAATTTATGCCTCAGGCGTTGATAATCAAAAGCTGAATACGATATCTTTTATCATTATAGATATATCTGTTTGCAAAATGATGTGACACACACAGACAATAAGCTAATGTCAATGAGAGAATAGGCATATTTAGAGTTCAATGTTGAAGGTTTTTTCTTATTATCTTGCACATTTTTTGGAATGTCCTCACTGAGATCACCAAGAAATATCCCTGCCATTTTATTAGCTCTACCATCAATTT